AGTTTCAAATGTAGATATGATAGAGCCCAGTAGGCTCAGGAACCTGTACACCAGTTGACTGACAGTTGAGAGGCGGGACCAAAGAGCCAAATCTCAACCCCCGCAACCACATCTAAGTGAATACAATTAGGTGAGTACACACACACACATACACACACACACACACACAACACACACACACACACACACACACACACACACACACACACACACACACACACACACACAGACGGGCGTCAGTGACCTAACGCGCGACGCCATATAAGGAAAACAACACAACACACCAGCCAACAAAACAAAAGAGCGTCTGTAGTGGCGCCAAACATGAGCTTCGCAAAATGATTAACCAAATTAAATTAAAACTGAATGTACAAAAAAGTAGTTTTTATATGAATATTTTAAGCACGTTGAGAGATGTGTTGAGTCAAAGAGCGAGGAGATATTAGGTGCCAGAGAGAGCAGAGGCCAGCACAGGAATATGGAGGTTATAGAGCCTGGCGCTGACCGGAGGAGTCGCAGCTGTGGCTGAGGGCCTTGTTAAGGTCAGAATATAGAGGTTATAGAGCCTGGCGCTGACGGGAGGAGTCGCAGCTGTGGCTGAGGGCCTTGTTAAGGTCAGAATATAGAGGTTATAGAGCCTGGCGCTGACGGGAGGAGTCGCAGCTGTGGCTGAGGGCCTTGTTAAGGTCAGAATATGGAGGTTATAGAGCCTGGCGCTGACGGGAGGAGTCGCAGCTGTGGCTGAGGGCCTTGTTAAGGTCAGAATATAGAGGTTATAGAGCCTGGCGCTGACGGGAGGAGTCGCAGCTGTGGCTGAGGGCCTTGTTAAGGTCAGAATATGGAGGTTATAGAGCCTGGCGCTGACCGGAGGAGTCGCAGCTGTGGCTGAGGGCCTTGTTAAGGTCAGAATATGGAGGTTATAGAGCCTGGCGCTGACCGGAGGAGTCGCAGCTGTGGCTGAGGGCCTTATTAAGGTCAGAATATGGAGGTTATAGAGCCTGGCGCTGACGGGAGGAGTCGCAGCTGTGGCTGAGGGCCTTGTTAAGGTCAGAATATGGAGGTTATAGAGCCTGGCGCTGACGGGAGGAGTCGCAGCTGTGGCTGAGGGCCTTGTTAAGGTCAGAATATAGAGGTTATAGAGCCTGGCGCTGACGGGAGGAGTCGCAGCTGTGGCTGAGGGCCTTGTTAAGGTCAGAATATGGAGGTTATAGAGCCTGGCGCTGACGGGAGGAGTCGCAGCTGTGGCTGAGGGCCTTGTTAAGGTCAGAATATAGAGGTTATAGAGCCTGGCGCTGACGGGAGGAGTCGCAGCTGTGGCTGAGGGCCTTGTTAAGGTCAGAATATAGAGGTTATAGAGCCTGGCGCTGACGGGAGGAGTCGCAGCTGTGGCTGAGGGCCTTGTTAAGGTCACTACCATTGCTCTTGCCACATGGTGACAGTGATGAGGTCACCCTTAACATCTTATCATAGTTGTGCTTGCGGGGGTTGAACTTTGGCTCTTTGGTCCCGCCTCTCAACTGTCAATCAATTGGTGTACAGGTTCCTGAGCCTACTGGGCTCTATCATATTTACATTTGAAACTGTGTATGGAGTCAGCCTCCACCACATCACTGCCTAATGCATTCCATCTGTTAACTACTCTGACACTGAAAAAGTTCTTTCTAACGTCTCTGTGGCTCATTTGGGCATTAAGTCTTCACCTGTGTTCCCTTGTTAGTGTTCCACCCGTGCTAAATAGTTTGTCTTTGTCCACCCTGTCAATTCCTCTTAGAATTTTGTAGGTGGTTATCATGTCTCCCCCTTATTCTTCTGTCTTCCAAGGACGTGAGGTTTAGCTCCCTTAGCCTTTCCTCGTAGCTCATACCTCTCTGTTCCGGGACCAGTCTGGTGGCATACCGCTGAATCTTCTCTAACTTTGTCTTGTGTTTAACTAGGTATGGACTACAGGCTGGAGTTGCATACTCCAGGATTAGTCTGACATAAGTGGTATACAGGGTTCTGAACGATTCCTTACACAAGTTTCTAAAGGCAGTTTTTATGTTAGGCAATCTAGCATATGCCGCTGATGATATTCTTTTGATGTGGGCCTCTGGGGACAGGTTCGGTGTGATATCAACCCCCAGATCTTTCTCTCTATTTGACTCTTGCAGGATTTCACCTCCCAGATGGTACATTGTGTTCAGCCTCCTGCTCCCTTCGCCTAATTTCATTACTTTACACTTTCCTGATGTAACACCCCCCTAGTGTAACACCGCCCTAAAGTGTACCACTATAATGGAACACTACTTATCCTGAGTAACACTTCCTCATCGGTTGCACTTGATAACACTGTTATGAGCTGACATATGATGGTTACACCGGAACCAAAGGTACACTGCCAATAAGGAAATGCTAACACAGGATTAAATACGCTGCCACCATCTGCCTTTGACCATTGAGACTATATCAAGCAACGAGGCAAGAAACATTGCTTGACTTGGAGAGTACTTTCTATGACTGTCATTAATTATGAAAACGGTTGTAAGCCACTATATCCAAAATGCTAAGAGGATTCAACAATTGACACAGACGGGAAATTTAACGAGTTTATTGAGACCAAAATTATGTCAATCACCACTTATAAATCCTACTCTAACACTGGCAAAAAGTTAAGAAATTTGGACATGGAACAAAAACTCAGAGATCACACACATTACCTTAAGATATCTGTCTCTCCCTGGCTGAGATGTTCTTCACAGCCTCTCTGGACCCCGGTGTCCCGCACTCTGAGTTCCCTAAGTCCCTACAGGACTTCTATATACAACCCCCACAGGGGGAGGGGGAGATCTGCTGTTGCTACCCACCAAGAATGTACAAACACTCAAGAAATATTTCAATAAGCTTGTTTGACATTCACCATACACTCTTCAAGAGAGGAGTTATTAATTACGTGTGTGGCTGACCTCTGACCTGGCCAAAAAGGGGGAGATCCAGGGATGTTTACACATAAGAGTCTGGAGTCTACTTCCCTTGCCTGAAATATTACATACTTGAAACTATGCTGACTAAGACTAACCCAGGAATTTTTTTAATCAACAACAAAATAATCCGGAGGTCATCTGGGCTGACCTCTTGGAGAAGGCTTCCCTGGGTGTGAACTCTAAAGGGGGGGGGGGAGGTCCTGGGTGTTACACTGAGTTGAACTTTAGCAGCCATTTTCTAGACCATTCCTCCAGCCGGTCCAGGTCGTCCTGTAGTCTCTGTCTATCTTTATCTGTCTTGATTCTTCTGGTAATTTTTGCATCATCAGCAAACATTGAGAGGAATGAGTCTATACCCTCTGGAAGATCGTTTACATATATTGGAAACATAAGAGGTCCAAGTACGCCACACCTGTCCCGTGTGTACCTGTGTGGCCACACCTGTCCCGTGTGTACCTGTGTGGCCACACCTGTCCCGTGTGTACCTGTGTGGCCACACCTGTCCCGTGTGTACCTGTGTGGCCACACCTGTCCCGTGTGTACCTGTATGGCCACACCTGTCCCGTGTGTACCTGTGTGGCCACACCTGTCCCGTGTGTACCTGTGTGGCCACACCTGTCCCGTGTGTACCTGTGTGGCCCCACCTGTCCCGTGTGTACCTGTGTGGCCACACCTGTCCCGTGTGTACCTGTGTGGCCACACCTGTCCCGTGTGTACCTGTGTGGCCACACCTGTCCCGTGTGTACCTGTATGGCCACACCTGTCCCGTGTGTACCTGTGTGGCCACACCTGTCCCGTGTGTACCTGTGTGGCCACACCGTGTGTACCTGTGTGGCCACACCTGTCCCGTGTGTACCTGTGGCCACACCTGTCCCGTGTGTACCTGTGTGGCCACACCTGTCCCGTGTGTACCTGTGTGGCCACACCTGTCCCGTGTGTACCTGTGTGGCCACACCTGTCCCGTGTGTACCTGTGTGGCCACACCTGTCCCGTGTGTACCTGTGTGGCCACACCTGTCCCGTGTGTACCTGTGTGGCCACACCTGTCCCGTGTGTACCTGTGTGGCCACACCTGTCCCGTGTGTACCTGTGTGGCCACACCTGTCCCGTGTGTACCTGTGTGGCCACACCTGTCCCGTGTGTACCTGTGTGGCCACACCTGTCCCGTGTGTACCTGTGTGGCCACACCTGTCCCGTGTGTACCTGTGTGGCCACACCTGTCCCGTGTGTACCTGTGTGGCCACACCTGTCCCGTGTGTACCTGTATGGCCACACCTGTCCCGTGTGTACCTGTATGGCCACATGTCCCGTGTGTACCTGTATGGCCACACCTGTCCCGTGTGTACCTGTATGGCCACACCTGTCCCGTGTGTACCTGTGTGGCCACACCTGTCCCGTGTGTACCTGTGTGGCCACACCTGTCCCGTGTGTACCTGTGTGGCCACACCTGTCCCGTGTGTACCTGTGTGGCCACACCTGTCCCGTGTGTAATGAAGGGTGGAGCCTACCCAGGTGGTTGGGGGGGCCGGGGGAGCCTGTCACCGGTGGGGCGGGTACTGGAGCCTGCACCACTGTCACCGGTGGGGCGGGTACTGGTGCCTGCACCACTGTCACCGGTGGGGCGGGTACTGGTGCCTGCACCACTGTCACCGGTGGGGCGGGTACTGGAGCCTGCACCACTGTCACCGGTGGGGCGGGTACTGGAGCCTGCACCACTGTCACCGGTGGAGCGGGTACTGGAGCCTGCACCACTGTCACCGGTGGGGCGGGTACCGGAGCCTGCACCACTGTCACCCGTGGGGCGGGTACTGGAGCCTGCACCACTGTCACCGGTGGGGCGGGTACTGGAGCCTGCACCACTGTCACCCGTGGGGCGGGTACTGGAGCCTGCACCACTGTCACCGGTGGGGCGGGTACTGGTGCCTGCACCACTGTCACCGGTGGGGCGGGTACTGGTGCCTGCACCACTGTCACCGGTGGGGCGGGTACTGGAGCCTGCACCACTGTCACCGTGGGGCGGGTACTGGAGCCTGCACCACTGTCACCCGTGGGCGGGTACTGGAGCCTGCACCACTGTCACCGGTGGAGCGGGTACTGGAGCCTGCACCACTGTCACCGGTGGAGCGGGTACTGGAGCCTGCACCACTGTCACCGGTGGGGCGGGTACTGGAGCCTGCACCACTGTCACCGGTGGGGCGGGTACTGGTGCCTGCACCACTGTCACCGGTGGGGCGGGTACTGGAGCCTGCACCACTGTCACCGGTGGGGCGGGTACTGGAGCCTGCACCACTGTCACCGGTGGAGCGGGTACTGGTGCCTGCACCACTGTCACCGGTGGAGCGGGTACTGGAGCCTGCACCACTGTCACCGGTGGAGCGGGTACTGGAGCCTGCACCACTGTCACCGGTGGAGCGGGTACTGGAGCCTGCACCACTGTCACCGGTGGGGCGGGTACTGGAGCCTGCACCACTGTCACCGGTGGGGCGGGTACTGGTGCCTGCACCACTGTCACCCGTGGGGCGGGTACTGGAGCCTGCACCACTGTCACCGGTGGAGCGGGTACTGGAGCCTGCACCACTGTCACCGGTGGGGCGGGTACTGGTGCCTGCAGCACTGTCTCCGGTGGGGCGGGTACTGGTGCCTGCACCATTGTCACCGGTGGAGCGGGTACTGGAGCCTGCACCACTGTCACCCGTGGGGCGGGTACTGGAGCCTGCACCACTGTCACCGGTGGAGCGGGTACTGGAGCCTGCACCACTGTCACCGGTGGGGCGGGTACTGGTGCCTGCACCACTGTCACCGGTGGAGCGGGTACTGGTGCCTGCACCACTGTCACCGGTGGGGCGGGTACTGGAGCCTGCACCACTGTCACCGGTGGGGCGGGTACTGGTGCCTGCACCACTGTCACCGGTGGAGCGGGTACTGGTGCCTGCACCACTGTCACCGGTGGGGCGGGTACCGGAGCCTGCACCACTGTCACCGGTGGGGCGGGTACTGGAGCCTGCACCACTATCACCGGTGGGGCGGGTACTGGAGCCTGCACCACTGTCACCGGTGGAGCGGGTACTGGAGCCTGCACCACTGTCACCGGTGGGGCGGGTACTGGAGCCTGCACCACTGTCACCGGTGGGGCGGGTACTGGAGCCTGCACCACTGTCACCGGTGGAGCGGGTACCGGAGTCTGCACCACTGTCACCGGTGGAGCGGGTACCGGAGCCTGCACCACTGTCACCGGTGGAGCGGGTACCGGAGTCTGCACCACTGTCACCGGTGGGGCGGGTACTGGAGCCTGCACCACTGTCACCGGTGGGGCGGGTACTGGAGCCTGCACCACTGTCACCGGTGGGCGGGTACTGGAGCCTGCACCACTGTCACCGGTGGAGCGGGTACCGGAGTCTGCACCACTGTCACCGGTGGGGCGGGTACCGGAGCCTGCACCACTGTCACCGGTGGAGCGGGTACCGGAGCCTGCACCACTGTCACCGGTGGGGCGGGTACTGGAGCCTGCACCACTGTCACCGGTGGAGCGGGTACCGGAGCCTGCACCACTGTCACCGGTGGAGCGGGTACCGGAGCCTGCACCACTGTCACCGGTGGAGCGGGTACCGGAGTCTGCACCACTGTCACCGGTGGGGCGGGTACTGGAGCCTGCACCACTGTCACCGGTGGGGCGGGTACTGGAGCCTGCACCACTGTCACCGGTGGGGCGGGTACTGGAGCCTGCACCACTGTCACCGGTGGAGCGGGTACCGGAGCCTGCACCACTGTCACCGGTGGGGCGGGTACCGGAGCCTGCACCACTGTCACCGGTGGAGCGGGTACCGGAGCCTGCACCACTGTCACCGGTGGAGCGGGTACCGGAGCCTGCACCACTGTCACCGGTGGGGCGGGTACTGGAGCCTGCACCACTGTCACCGGTGGAGCGGGTACTGGAGCCTGCACCACTGTCACCGGTGGGCGGGTACTGGAGCCTGCACCACTGTCACCGGTGGAGCGGGTACTGGAGCCTGCACCACTGTCACCGGTGGAGCGGGTAACGGAGCCTGCACCACCGCCTAGTGATCAACCACATCCTTCACAAACCACAAATATCAAATAAATAAAGACTGGGTGAGCAGAGATACGACAGATAAATGTTATATTTACTCTGAAGACACATGAAAGTCAGGCGGAGTTACCAGCCAATATATTCAGCCAAAATGTAGTGACTTTAGTGGCTTTACAAGAATGTAAAATCAACTTAATTTCTATGTTCTCTGTTAACCCCAAATGTACCTTCTTGTATATATATATATATATATATATATATAATACAGCAGCCTCTCCTGGTTTACACTAGTTTACCTCGCGTCTATTCCTCGCACGAACCATCTTCCTTGTTTAATATTACTCGCCCTTACCCGGACCGTACCTGAATGTGCCTCTAGTGGGCTCCACCAGCACAGACCGACAGGCCACTCAAACATTACCTAACACAGTGCAGAGTTACGAAGTAAATAACATTTCAAGTAAGATTCATCAAAGCAGAAGTTGTTAAACACATGGGGGGAAGTCTTGCCTGGGCCTGATGGCTGAGTGGACAGTGCTCTGGATTCGTAGTGCTAAGGTTCCGGGTTCGATCCCCGGCGGAGGAGGAAACAAATGGGCAGAGTTTCTTTCACCTTGATGCCCCGTTCACCTAGCAGTAAATAGGTACTTGGGAGTTAGACAGCTGCTACTGGCTGCTTCCTGGGGATGTACTCACCTAGTTGTGCTTGCGGGGGTTGAGCTCTGGCTCTTTGGTCCCGCCAAATGTGTAAGAAAAAGGACGCCTAGTCGAGGACCGGGCCGCGGGGACGCTTAGCCCCGAAATCATCTGAAGATAACCTCAAGATAATCTTACTGAAGCGAACATACAAGTCATAAATACTCATACTCGGCCTATATAAAAGAGAAACAAGGAACAAACAACAGTGAGCCAGCCAGAGGCTAAGGGCCCGCGCAGGAATGTCTCTGAGAAAAATTAACCCGGGAGCCGGTCGGCCGAGCGGACAGCACACTGGACTTGTGATCCTGTGGTCCTGGGTTCGATCCCAGGCGCCGGCGAGAAACAATGGGCAGAGTTTCTTTCACCCTATGCCCCTGTTACCTAGCAGTAAAATAGGTACCTGGGTGTTGGTCAGCTGTCACGGGCTGCTTCCTGGGGGTGGAGGCCTGGTCGAGGACCGGGCCGCGGGGACACTAAAGCCCCGAAATCATCTCAAGATAACCCCCAAAAAAACGGTACAGGAATCTTGTGACTTCTTAAAACACCCAATATTTCTGGGTCGGATATTCCTGATATTTGTCCGTGTTTGTAGCTTTGTGATGACGTGGTATTGTGTTGGTGAGGAGCACTGATGGTGAGAGATGGTGTAGTGTTGGTGTGGAGCACTGATGGTGAGAGATGGTGTACTGTTGGTGTGGAGCACTGATGGTGAGAGATGGTGTAGTGTTGGTGAGGAGCACTGATGGTGAGAGATGGTGTACTGTTGGTGAGGAGCACTGATGGTGAGAGATGGTGTAGTGTTGGTGAGGAGCACTGATGGTGAGAGATGGTGTACTGTTGGTGAGGAGCACTGATGGTGAGAGATGGTGTACTGTTGGTGTGGAGCACTGATGGTGAGAGATGGTGTACTGTTGGTGAGGAGCACTGATGGTGAGAGATGGTGTACTGTTGGTGAGGAGCACTGATGGTGAGAGATGGTGTACTGTTGGTGTGGAGCACTGATGGTGAGAGATGGTGTAGTGTTGGTGTGGAGCACTGATGGTGAGAGATGGTGTACTGTTGGTGAGGAGCACTGATGGTGAGAGATGGTGTACTGTTGGTGTGGAGCACTGATGGTGAGAGATGGTGTACTGTTGGTGTGGAGCACTGATGGTGAGAGATGGTGTACTGTTGGTGAGGAGCACTGATGGTGAGAGATGGTGTAGTGTTGGTGAGGAGCACTGATGGTGAGAGGTGGTGTACTGTTGGTGTGGAGCACTGATGGTGAGAGATGGTGTAGTGTTGGTGTGGAGCACTGATGGTGAGAGATGGTGTACTGTTGGTGAGGAGCACTGGTGAGAGATGGTGTACTGTTGGTGAGGAGCACTGATGGTGAGAGATGGTGTACTGTTGGTGTGGAGCACTGATGGTGAGAGATGGTGTAGTGTTGGTGAGGAGCACTGATGGTGAGAGATGGTGTACTGTTGGTGAGGAGCACTGATGGTGAGAGATGGTGTACTGTTGGTGTGGAGCACTGATGGTGAGAGATGGTGTACTGTTGGTGTGGAGCACTGATGGTGAGAGATGGTGTAGTGTTGGTGAGGAGCACTGATGGTGAGAGATGGTGTACTGTTGGTGAGGAGCACTGATGGTGAGAGATGGTGTACTGTTGGTGTGGAGCACTGATGGTGAGAGATGGTGTAGTATTGGTGTGGAGCACTGATGGTGAGAGATGGTGTACTGTTGGTGAGGAGCACTGATGGTGAGAGATGGTGTACTGTTGGTGAGGAGCACTGATGGTGAGAGATGGTGTACTGTTGGTGTGGAGCACTGATGGTGAGAGATGGTGTACTGTTGGTGTGGAGCACTGATGGTGAGAGATGGTGTACTGTTGGTGAGGAGCACTGATGGTGAGAGATGGTGTACTGTTGGTGTGGAGCACTGATGGTGAGAGATGGTGTACTGTTGGTGTGGAGCACTGATGGTGAGAGATGGTGTACTGTTGGTGTGGAGCACTGATGGTGAGAGATGGTGTACTGTTGGTGTGGAGCACTGATGGTGAGAGATGGTGTAGTGTTGGTGTGGAGCACTGATGGTGAGAGATGGTGTACTGTTGGTGTGGAGCACTGATGGTGAGAGGTGGTGTGGAGCACTGATGGTGAGAGATGGTGTACTGTTGGTGTGGAGCACTGATGGTGAGAGATGGTGTACTGTTGGTGAGGAGCACTGATGGTGAGAGATGGTGTACTGTTGGTGTGGAGCACTGATGGTGAGAGATGGTGTACTGTTGGTGTGGAGCACTGATGGTGAGAGATGGTGTACTGTTGGTGAGGAGCACTGATGGTGAGAGATGGTGTAGTGTTGGTGTGGAGCACTGATGGTGAGAGATGGTGTACTGTTGGTGTGGAGCACTGATGGTGAGAGGTGGTGTACTGTTGGTGTGGAGCACTGATGGTGAGAGATGGTGTAGTGTTGGTGTGGAGCACTGATGGTGAGAGATGGTGTACTGTTGGTGAGGAGCACTGATGGTGAGAGATGGTGTAGTGTTGGTGAGGAGCATTGATGGTGAGAGATGGTGTACTGTTGGTGTGGAGCACTGATGGTGAGAGATGGTGTACTGTTGGTGTGGAGCACTGATGGTGAGAGATGGTGTACTGTTGGTGTGGAGCACTGATGGTGAGAGATGGTGTACTGTTGGTGTGGAGCACTGATGGTGAGAGATGGTGTACTGTTGGTGTGGAGCACTGATGGTGAGAGATGGTGTACTGTTGGTGTGGAGCACTGATGGTGAGAGATGGTGTACTGTTGGTGTGGAGCACTGATGGTGAGAGATGGTGTAGTGATGGTGTGGAGCACTGATGGTGAGAGATGGTGTAGTGATGGTGTGGAGCACTGATGGTGAGAGATGGTGTACTGTTGGTGTGGAGCACTGATGGTGAGAGATGGTGTAGTGTTGGTGTGGAGCACTGATGGTGAGAGATGGTGTAGTGATGGTGTGGGAGGGGACAGAGAGGATGGGATAGTGGTGGTGACCGACCGCCGGACGTCCCACTGTGCAACAAGACTGGACCTCCTCCTGCCTCACCACGGAGTCCTCACTCCTATATCAACACCACCTTCCCCCCCCCCCCCCAATGTCTCCTCATACTTATGGTCAGTATACACACACACACACACACACAGGTGTGTGTGTGTGTGTGTGTTTAGCAGTCCCCGTGGCATAGTGGTGTTGAGTGGAGTGGCGTTTTGCGAGCACTTTGGCCTGGGTTCGTATCCTTACCTGTAGCCTCTGATAACAAGACGATAACACAAAGACACGAAGTCGGCCACGAGTCTATAACCCGGGTCGACGGAACCACCATGAAAGTCCTAATATACAACCGCTCATGGCGCCCGGCACCACTAGACGTAAACCAAGTAGTGACAGTAAAGGAGCACCGCCAGTACCAAGCATAAGAGGGACCACCAGTAACCTGGAGAGCCAGTACCACATGAAGGCAGCCGCCTTCCTCCCCGGCTTTACGGGGACGGGGACCTAACTCTGCACGTTTACAATTGATGGACTCCGTGTCCGCCACCGTGAAGATCGTCGTAGAAGACAGAAGACTTCACCACCACAGAAGACAGAAGACTTCACCACCACAGAAGACAGAAGACTTCACCACCACAGAAGACAGAAGACTTCACCACCACAGAAGACTTCACCACCACAGAAGACAGAAGACTTCACCACCACAGAAGACAGAAGACTTCACCACCACAGAAGACTTCACCACCACAGAAGACAGAAGACTTCATCACCACAGAAGACAGAAGACTTCACCACCACAGAAGACAGAAGACTTCATCACCACAGAAGACAGAAGACTTCACCACCACAGAAGACAGAAGACTTCACCACCACAGAAGACAGAAGACTTCATCACCACAGAAGACAGAAGACTTCCCCACCACAGAAGACAGAAGACTTCACCACCACAGAAGACAGAAGACTTCACCACCACAGAAGACAGAAGACTTCACCACCACAGAAGACAGAAGACTTCACCACCACAGAAGACAGAAGACTTCATCACCACAGAAGACAGAAGACTTCATCACCACAGAAGACAGAAGACTTCACCACCACAGAAGACAGAAGACTTCACCACCACAGAAGACAGAAGACTTCACCACCACAGAAGACAGAAGACTTCACCACCACAGAAGGCAGAAGACTTCACCACCACAGAAGACAGAAGACTTCACCACCACAGAAGACAGAAGACTTCACCACCACAGAAGACAGAAGACTTCACCACCACAGAAGACAGAAGACTTCACCACCACAGAAGACAGAAGACTTCACCACCACAGAAGACAGAAGACTTCACCACCACAGAAGACAGAAGACTTCACCACCACAGAAGACAGAAGACTTCACCACCACAGAAGACAGAAGACTTCACCACCACAGAAGACAGAAGACTCCACAACTCAAGAGGACAGCAGTCCTCGCTTCGTCACCCCGACTCAAAACCTTGCCTCCTCGCCTTGCCGGCCTGGGGCCAGATTCACGAAGCAGTTACACAAGCACTTACGAACCTGTACTTCTTTTATCAATCTTTGGCGGCTTTGTTTACAATTATTAAACGGTTAATCAGCTCCGAAGCACCAGGAGGCTGTTTATAACAATAACAACAGTTGATTGGCAAGTTTTCATGCTTGTAAACTGTTTAATAAATGTAACCAAAGCCGTCAAAGATTGAGGAAACATGTACAGGTTCGTAAGTGCTTGCGTAACTGCTTCGTGAATCTGGCCCCCTGGTGTTGAAAGCCTCAGTTACACCGTGCAGCTGGGTCTAGCCCCGGGCGCTGTCTCTCCGACTTCCACGTTTCCTCTCACTCTCTATTCTTCAGCTATCCCCACTTCCCCGCTCATCCATGGGGCATCTTGACCTATATTTAATTCATTCATTCATTCTCTGTTTACCCAACAGTAAAATGGATACCTGGTAAACAATTTGGCGGGTTGAATTCCGGGGAACATAGGATTAAGGACCTGCCCGAAACGCTATGCGCGCTAGTGGCTGTACAAGAATGTAACAACTCTTGTATATATATAAATAAATAAATAAAATAAAGAAATGGTATGTGATTCAGAGGTATGCCACCAGACTAGTCCCGGAACTGAGAGGTATGAGCTACGAGGAAAGGCTAAGGGAGCTAAACCTCACGTCCCTGGAAGACAGAAGAATAAGGGGAGACATGATAACCACCTACAAAATTCTCAGGGGAATTGACAGGGTGGACAAAGACAAACTCTTTAGCACGGGTGGGACACGAACAAGGGGACACAGGTGGAAACTGCGCACCCAAATGAGTCACAGACACTTTAGAAATAATTTTGTCAGTGTCAGAGTAGTTAACAAATGGAATGCACTAGGAAGTGATGTGGTGGAGGCTGACTCCATACACAGCTTCAAGTGTAGATATGATAGAGCCCAATAGGCTCAGGAATCTGTACACCAGTTGATTGACAGTCGAGAGGCGGGACCAAAGAACCAGAGCTCAACCCCCGCAAGCACAACTAGGTGAATACACACACACACACACACACACACACACACACACACACACACACACACACACACACACACACACACACACAACACCTGATTAAGTCAAAGAAAATTAGGAATAAGTAAAAGGTGAGGGCAAGACAGAAGTAGAAGACAGTACAAGAGGGAATAAATGAAGCGAACATTAAGCTGCTCGTATATTCCCAACATCAGTGACCCCAACATCAGTGACCCCAACATCAGTGACCCCCAACATCAGTGACCCCCAACATCAGAGACCCCAACATCAGAGACCCCAACATCAGTGACCCCAACATCAGTGACCCCAACATCAGTGACCCCAACATCAGAGACCCCAACATCAGTGACCCCAACATCAGAGACCCCCAACATCAGTGACCCCCAACATCAGTGACCCCAACATCAGTGACCCCCAACATCAGTGACCCCCAACATCAGTGACCCCCAACCTCAGTGACCCCAACATCAGTGACCCCAACATCAGAGACCCCAACATCAGTGACCCCAACATCAGTGACCCCCAACTTCAGTGACCCCAACATCAGTGACCCCCAACTTCAGCCACAGTAACCCTTCAACGTTTGGGGTCCTGGAACTGGACCCCAAAGAAATTTGCGGCCCGGTTTCAGGACCCCAATTTGGGGTCCAGCTCACAAGATGAGTATGAGGGTTTAAAGAGGTAATTAAGATACAATTGTGCATAGTTTGTTGGTGCCTATATTGACAACTCTAAAACTAGGTCATCAATGCTCTAACTTTCTTTGTTAAACGAATCGTTAGGCTCAGTTCGTAAGCCCATCACGTGTCTCCTGTCAAGTGGAAGCCTTCCACTTGACAGGTGTGGCACGGGGCTTGTAAACACGTAGTTAGAGGGACAGACAACAATTGACAGATGTGGCAGAATGAATAATATTATTCACTCGTTAATATATGAAGCAATTTTGTCTATGTAAGAACTTCCTGTTCCCCCTCACCTTCACCAGATCAGTGAAGAACGACAACTTCGTGTACCCTCTCGGGTAAGGACATATTTAGGCGCCACTCTGTAAACAATGGCGGCTGCCAACAGACTGGTGTTAGACAAATGTCGTCACAATGGCGAAGTTGGTTACGGCAGTCGGTGGTGGCTAATCACAGAAGGTTACATTCATAACCTCTGCACGAGTTCCTGAAATGTGTATGTTGGGTGATGATGGCACAGTGCCTGGCGCTCAGTACACAGTGCCGGGAGCACAGGCGAGTACGTGCCACCAGCTAGTGTGTACGCCCAGCTGTGGTGCCAGAGTCAGCCTTGCGTCAACAAACATCTCCCTGCCCAATGCCATGAACACTGTCTTCACCTTGAAGCGGTATCACCTTCAGGCGATATAAACGTGAAGCAGTATTGCCTCTCAAGCGGTACCAGCTTGTAGTGGCATCATCTTGAAGCGGTATCACCTTCTGGCGATATAATATCATCTAGGTCTGTCTAGGAGACAATAGTGCATTAGGATAATTTACACTGCGTATCCCTGCAAAACAAAAAAATACACTGCGTAAATCTTGTTAATGTTCACATCATCGCTATGATGATATACAAAGATTATGTTTAATATGTTCTTCAGTCCACAATACTTGTGAAATAATTCTTCTTTCAGATGTTTCAAAGTAGATATTTCCTAAAGATGAATATTGCCTTGTGTCTACAATATATATATATATATATATATATATATATATATATATATATATATATATATATATATATATATATATATATAATAGAATGTCTGTCCGAAGTCAGAGGCCAGACGCTTGGAGCTAGCCTAGTAAAACATTCACACATTAAACATGTGCGTGTATGTGAGTGTCACAGGCCAGTCAGGGTCGGCCCAAGTGCCATGATTTTAGACATATCGGCCCCTATAGCAACCCCCAGCTGGCATGTTCATGAAGTCTGAAGTAAACTCGGGTGTGTGTTTTCTGTAGCATGTTGATGCTTACTCCCGCAATTACTCTTCTGCTTTACTCCAGAACGATGAACTTGAATTCATTTGGGTTACAATATTACATTTCCTGAGGGAAGGAGAGGAGGGGGAAAGGTGAGGAGAGGGGGTAGATTGGGGAGGAGAAGGGAAGAGAAGAGAGAGGAAAAGAGAGAGAGAAAGGAGAGAGTGAGAGAGAGCAGAGAGAGGAAGGAGAAGGTGAGGGGGGAAGCAATATTCAAACATCATCAATTGTGAATCGCGTGTAAAGGGTTTTTTCATTTATAAACAAGGGGGGGGGGGAAGTTGCCAGCTGCTCGGATTGAATATTGGATTGTGTTGATGAGGACGGCAGCCCGTCCTTGTCAACAAAGACAAAAGTCCATTCCATCCACATGTCAAACCCTCTGTTTATTAATGAAAAACGGTTTACACACGACTTACGACTAATTTCGTTCGAACACTTCCATCACAAGTGCTCCGCTGACGACTTGTGTTCGAACCACAACGCTGTAAATGCTTCACCCACGTAACACAAATACAAATAATCGCCAAAAGATTTATGCAAATAAATACCTAATTAACCTACGCCTAAATATGCACAATCTGCTAAATATCTATTATTAATTTACATTTGAGAAAATTACTATTTTTAATAAACCACATATTAAAATTGATGAATTCGTCTTTGGGGTCGACCGCTGGATGGAATGGACTTGAGTCGAGGACGGGTTGTTTCAGCCACAACCCATCCTCAGACCAAGTCCATTCCTTCCAGCGGTCGACCCCAAAGACGCATTCATCAATTTTAACATACTGTTCATTCAAAATAAGACTTTTCTCATATATAAATTAATATAGTTACATTCTAAGTTTGGGTAAATACTGGTTCAGTAACAGGGTTGTTGATTTGTGGAACCAATTACCGCGTAACGTGGTGGAGGTGGGGTCCCTCGATTGTTTCAAACGTGGTTTGGACATGTATATGAGTGGAATTGGGTGGTTATAAATAGGAGCTGCCTCGTATAGGCCAATAGGCCTTCTGCAGTTACCTTTATTCCTATGTTCTTATGATAGCATATTGTACATTATTATGTTAGGTTAGATGTATACTTTAGTCGTGAAGGGAAGCAGGATACACTTCACTACGTATAATGTACATCTACAAAGCTGAAACAAAGAGAACCTGTGATGGTGGAGAGTAAGGTTAGAGCCGTCACCAGCGCCGCCCCCGCCAACCGTCACCAGCGCCGCCCCCGCCAGCCGTCACCAGCGTCACCCCCGCCAGCCGTCACCAGCGCCGCCCCCGCCAGCCGTCAACAGCGCCGCCCCCGCCAGCCGTCACCCCCGCCAGCCGTCACCAGCGCCACCCCCGCCAGCCGTCACCAGCGCCGCCCCCGCCAGCCGTCAACAGCGCCGCCCCCGCCAGCCGTCACCAGCGCCATCCCCGCCAGCCGTCACCAGCGCCGCCCCCGCCAGCCGTCACCAGCGCCGCCCCCGCCAGCCGTCACCAGCGCCGCCCCCGCCAACCGTCACCAGCGCCGCCCCCGCCAGCCGTCACCAGCGCCGCCCCCGCCAACCGTCACCAGCGCCGCCCCCGCCAGCCGTCACCAGCGCCGCCCCCGCCAGCCGTCACCAGCGCCGCCCCCGCCAGCCGTCACCAGCGCCGCCCCCGCCAGCCGTCACCAGCGCCGCCCCCGCCAGCCGTCACCAGCGCCGCCCCCGCCAGCCGTCAACAGCGCCGCCCCCGCCAGCCGTCACCAGCGCCGCCCCCGCCAGCCGTCACCAGCGTCACCCCCGCCAACCGTCACCAGCGCCACCCCCGCCAGCCGTCAACAGCGCCGCCCCCGCCAGCCGTCAACAGCGCCGCCCCCGCCAGCCGTCAACAGCGCCGCCCCCGCCAGCCGTCACCCGCGCCGCCCCCGCCAGCCGTCAACAGCGCCGCCCCCGCCAGCCGTCACCCCCGCCAGCCGTCACCAGCGCCACCCCCGCCAGCCGTCACCAGCGCCGCCCCCGCCAGCCGTCAACAGCGCCGCCCCCGCCAGCCGTCACCAGCGCCATCCCCGCCAGCCGTCACCAGCGCCGCCCCCGCCAGCCGTCACCAGCGCCGCCCCCGCCAGCCGTCACCAGCGCCGCCCCCTCCAACCGTCACCAGCGCCGCCCCCGCCAGCCGTCACCAGCGCCGCCCCCTCCAACCGTCACCAGCGCCGCCCCCGCCAGCCGTCACCAGCGCCGCCCCCGCCAGCCGTCACCAGCGCCGCCCCCGCCAGCCCTCACCAGCGCCGCCCCCGCCAGCCCTCACCAGCGCCGCCCCCGCCAACCGTCACCAGCGCCGCCCCCGCCAGCCGTCAACAGCGCCGCCCCCGCCAGCCGTCACCAGCGCCGCCCCCGCCAGCCGTCACCAGCGCCGCCCCCGCCAACCTTCAGCGCCGCCCCCGCCAACCTTCACTTGAAGGACAACGTTCCGCCTGGCCTCAAGGCAACTGTGGTGTAAGTGGACTTTCTTAAGTGCCTTGAGTAAGGTAAGTTAACAATATTTAATAAGATAAACTAAACTTACAACTTGTTTACTCAAGTGCCTTAAGTAAGGTAAGATATGTAATCAGATAAAGTCAGCAAATGGGACTAAAATAGCTATGTATCACAGGTGATTGTTTACCATTTCCTGCAGTGTTGTAGGGTACCTCAGTGTTGTAGGGTACCTCAGTGTTGTAGGGTACCTCAGTGTTGTAGGGTACCTCAGTGTTGTAGGGTACCTCAGTGTTGTAGGGTACCTCAGTGTTGTAGGGTACCTCAGTGTTGTAGGGTACCTCAGTGTTGTAGGATACCTCAGTGTTGTAGGGTACCTCAGTGTTGTAGGGTACCTCAGTGTTGTAGGGTACCTCAGTGTTGTAGGGTACCTCATTGTTGTAGGGTACCTCAGTGTTGTAGAATACCTCAGTGTTGTAGGATACCTCAGTGTTGTAGGGTACCTCAGTGTTGTAGGGTACCTCAGTGTTGTAGGATACCTCAGTGTTGTAGGGTACCTCATTGTTGTAGGGTACCTCAGTGTTGTAGAATACCTCAGTGTTGTAGGATACCTCAGTGTTGTAGGGTACCTCAGTGTTGTAGGGTACCTCAGTGTTGTAGGGTACCTCAGTGTTGTAGAATACCTCAGTGTTGTAGGATACCTCAGTGTTGTAGGGTACCTCAGTGTTGTAGAATACCTCAGTGTTGTAGGATACCTCAGTGTTGTAGGGTACCTCAGTGTTGTAGGGTACCTCAGTGTTGTAGGATACCTCAGTGTTGTAGGGTACCTCAGTGTTGTAGGGTACCTCAGTGTTGTAGGGTACCTCAGTGTTGTAGGGTACCTCAGTGTTGTAGGGTGCCTCAGTGTTGTAGGGTACCTCAGTGTTGTAGGATACCTCAGTGTTGTAGGATACCTCAGTGTTGTAGGGTACCTCAGTGTTGTAGGGTACCTCAGTGTTGTAGGATACCTCAGTGTTGTAGGATACCTCAGTGTTGTAGGGTACCTCAGTGTTGTAGGGTACCTCAGTGTTGTAGGATACCTCAGTGTTGTAGGATACCTCAGTGTTGTAGGGTACCTCAGTGTTGTAGGGTACCTCAGTGTTGTAGGGTACCTCAGTGTTGTAGGATACCTCAGTGTTGTAGGGTACCTCAGTGTTGTAGGGTACCTCAGTGTTGTAGGGTACGTCAGTGTTGTAGGATACCTCAGTGTTGTAGGATACCTCAGTGTTGTAGGGTACCTCAGTGTTGTAGGGTACCTCAGTGTTGTAGGGTACCTCAGTGTTGTAGGGTACCTCAGTGTTGTAGGATACCTCAGTGTTGTAGGATACCTCAGTGTTGTAGGGTACCTCAGTGTTGTAGGATACCTCAGTGTTGTAGGGTACCTCAGTGTTGTAGGGTACCTCAGTGTTGTAGGGTACCTCAGTGTTGTAGGATACCTCAGTGTTGTAGGATACCTCAGTGTTGTAGGGTACCTCAGTGTTGTAGGATACCTCAGTGTTGTAGGATACCTCAGTGTTGTAGGGTACCTCAGTGTTGTAGGATACCTCAGTGTTGTAGGGTACCTCAGTGTTGTAGGGTACCTCAGTGTTGTAGGATACCTCAGTGTTGTAGGGTACCTCAGTGTTGTAGGATACCTCAGTGTTGTAGGATACCTCAGTGTTGTAGGGTACCTCAGTGTTGTAGGGTACCTCAGTGTTGTAGGGTACCTCAGTGTTGTAGGGTACCTCAGTGTTGTAGGATACCTCAGTGTTGTAGGATACCTCAGTGTTGTAGGATACCTCAGTGTTGTAGGGTACCTCAGTGTTGTAGGGTACCTCAGTGTTGTAGGATACCTCAGTGTTGTAGGGTACCTCAGTGTTGTAGGGTACCTCAGTGTTGTAGGGTACCTCAGTGTTGTAGGGTACCTCAGTGTTGTAGGGTACCTCAGTGTTGTAGGGTACCTCAGTGTTGTAGGATACCTCAGTGTTGTAGGATACCTCAGTGTTGTAGGGTACCTCAGTGTTGTAGGATACCTCAGTGTTGTAGGGTACCTCAGTGTTGTAGGGTACCTCAGTGTTGTAGGGTACCTCAGTGTTGTAGGACACCTCAGTGTTGTAGGGTACCTCAGTGTTGTAGGGTACCTCAGTGTTGTAGGGTACCTCAGTGTTGTAGGGTACCTCTGTGTTGTAGGGTACCTCAGTGTTGTAGGGTACCTCAGTGTTGTAGGGTACCTCAGTGTTGTAGGGTACCTCAGTGTTGTAGGATACCTCAGTGTTGTAGGGTACCTCAGTGTTGTAGGATACCTCAGTGTTGTAGGGTACCTCAGTGTTGTAGGGTACCTCAGTGTTGTAGGATACCTCAGTGTTGTAGGATACCTCAGTGTTGTAGGGTACCTCAGTGTTGTAGGGTACCTCAGTGTTGTAGGGTACCTCATTGTTGCAGGGTACCTCAGTGTTGCAGGGTACCTCAGTGTTGTAGGGTACCTCAGTGTTGTAGGGTACCTCAGTGTTGTAGGGTACCTCAGTGTTGTAGGGTACCTCAGTGTTGTAGGATACCTCAGTGTTGTAGGGTACCTCAGTGTTGTAGGGTACCTCAGTGTTGTAGGATACTTCAGTGTTGTAGGATACCTCAGTGTTGTAGGGTACCTCAGTGTTGTAGGGTACTTCAGTGTTGTAGGATACCTCAGTGTTGTAGGGTACCTCAGTGTTGTAGGGTACCTCAGTGTTGTAGGATACCTCAGTGTTGTAGGGTATCTCAGTGTTATAGGGTACCTCAGTGTTGTAGGATACCTCAGTGTTGTAGGATACCTCAGTGTTGTAGGGTACCTCAGTGTTGTAGGATACCTCAGTGTTGTAGGGTACCTCAGTGTTGTAGGGTACCTCAGTGTTGTAGGATACCTCAGTGTTGTAGGGTACCTCAGTGTTGTAGGGTACCTCAGTGTTGTAGGATACCTCAGTGTTGTAGGGTACCTCAGTGTTGTAGGGTACCTCAGTGTTGTAGGGTACCTCAGTGTTGTAGGGTACCTCAGTGTTGTAGGATACCTCAGTGTTGTAGGGTACCTCAGTGTTGTAGGATACCTCAGTGTTGTAGGATACCTCAGTGTTGTAGGGTACCTCAGTGTCGTAGGGTACCTCAGTGTTGTAGGATACCTCAGTGTTGTAAGGTACCTCAGTGTTGTAGGGTACCTCAGTGTTGTAGGGTACCTCAGTGTTGTAGGATACCTCAGTGTTGTAGGGTATCTCAGTGTTATAGGGTACCTCAGTGTTGTAGGATACCTCAGTGTTGTAGGATACCTCAGTGTTGTAGGGTACCTCAGTGTTGTAGGATACCTCAGTGTTGTAGGGTACCTCAGTGTTGTAGGGTACCTCAGTGTTGTAGGATACCTCAGTGTTGTAGGGTACCTCAGTGTTGTAGGGTACCTCAGTGTTGTAGGGTACCTCAGTGTTGTAGGGTACCTCAGTGCTGTAGGGTACCTCATTGAGGGATTACTCAGTGTACTCAGAGTCTTTGTGAGCAGTAGAGCCTGGGAGTCTTTGTGAGCAGTAGAGCCCGGGAGTCTTTGTGAGCAGATGAGCCCGGAGTCTTTGTGAGCAGTAGAGCCCGGGAGTCTTTGTGAGCAGTAGAGCCCGGGAGTCTTTGTGAGCAGTAGAGCCCGGGAGTCTTTGTGAGCAGTAGAGCCCGGGAGTCTTTGTGAGCAGTGGAGCCAGGGAGTCTTTGTGAGCAGTAGAGCCTGGGAGTCTTTGTGAGCAGTAGAGCCCGGGAGTCTTTGTGAGCAGTAGAGCCAGGGAGTCTTTGTGAGCAGTAGAGCCCGGGAGTCTTTGTGAGCAGTAGAGCCTGGGAGTCTTTGTGAGCAGTAGAGCCCGGGAGTCTTTGTGAGCAGTAGAGCCTGGGAGTCTTTGTGAGCAGTAGAGCCTGGGAGTCTTTGTGAGCAGTAGAGCCCGGGAGTCTTTCTGAGCAATAGAGCCCGGGAGTCTTTCTGAGCAGTAGAGCCCGGGAGTCTTTGTGAGCAGTGGAGCCCGGGAGTCTTTGTGAGCAGTGGAGCCAGGGAGTCTTTGTGAGCAGTAGAGCCTGGGAGTCTTTGTGAGCAGTAGAGCCTGGGAGTCTTTGTGAGCAGTAGAGCCCGGGAGTCTTTCTGAGCAGTAGAGCCCGGGAGTCTTTGTGAGCAGTAGAGCCCGGGAGTCTTTGTGAGCAGTAGAGCCAGGGAGTCTTTGTGAGCAGTGGAGCCAGGGAGTCTTTGTGAGCAGTAGAGCCTGGGAGTCTTTGTGAGCAGTAGAGCCTGGGAGTCTTTGTGAGCAGTAGAGCCCGGGAGTCTTTGTGAGCAGTAGAGCCCGGGAGTCTTTGTGAGCAGTAGAGCCCGGGAGTCTTTGTGAGCATTAGAGCCCGGGAGTCTTTGTGAGCAGTAGAGCCCGGGAATCTTTGTGAGCAGTAGAGCCCGGGAGTCTTTGTGAGCAGTAGAGCCTGGGAGTCTTTGTGAGCAGTAGAGCCTGGTATTCTTTGTGAGCAGTATAGCCTGGGAGTCTTTGTGAGCAGTAGTGCCAGGGAGTCTTTGTGAGCAGTAGAGCCTGGGAGTCTTTGTGAGCAGTATAGCCCGGGAGTCTTTGTGAGCAGTATAGCCCGGGAGTCTTTGTGAGCAGGAGAGCCAGGGAGTCTTTGTGAGCAGTAGAGCCCGGGAGTCTTTGTGAGCAGTAGTGCCTGGGAGTCTTTGTGAGCAGTAAAGCCAGGGAGTCTTTGTGAGCAGTAGAGCCCGGGAGTCTTTGTGAGCAGTAGAGCCCGGGAGTCTTTGTGAGCAGTAGAGCCTGGGAGTCTTTGTGAGCAGTAGAGCCTGGGAGTCTTTCTGAGCAGTAGAGCCCGGGAGTCTTTCTGAGCAGTAGAGCCCGGGAGTCTTTCTGAGCAGTAGAGCCCGGGAGTCTTTCTGAGCAGTAGAGCCCGGGAGTCTTTGTGAGCAGTAGAGCCCGGGAGTCTTTGTGAGCAGTGGAGCCCGGGTGTCTTTGTGAGCAGTAGAGCCTGGGAGTCTTTGTGAG